ACATTCGCTCTCAGGGTTTATCTTGAACCTCCAACTTATCTCAGTCCCTCTATTTCCTATTTCAGTACCTGTTATTTGCCTTATCACATTTGTAGTTATTCCTTTGAAAGCCTCTTCTTGTTGAATGTAGTTGTTTATCATGCACCTTTTCTTCCAGTTCTTTATGCCCTGCACATCTAATGTTGAGTACGGTTATTTATTCCATGTACACCTAATTGTTGAATACAGTTCTTTATGCCCTGTGTATCTAATGTTGAGTATGGTTCATTTTGCCCTCTGTATCTAATATTGAATACAGTTATGCACTGTGTATCTAATGTTGAAAACAGTTCCTTATGCCCTCTGTATCTAATGTTGAGTACGGTTCCTTATTCCATGTACACCTAAGTGTTGAATACAGTTCTTTGTGCTCTGATCATCTAATCCTAAATACAGTTCTTTGGGCTCTGATCATCTAATCCTAAATACAGTTCTTTGGGCTCTGATCATCTAATCTTTAATACAGTTCTTTGTGCTCTGATCATCTAATCTTTAATACAGTTCTTTGTGCTCTGATCATCTAATCTTTAATACAGTTCTTTGTGCTCTGATCATCTAATCTTTAATACAGTTCTTTGTGCTCTGATCATCTAATCTTTAATACAGTTCTTTGTGCTTTGATCATCTAATCCTAAATACAGTTCTTTGTGCCATGTGTATCTAATGTTGAATACAGTTCTTTATACCCTGTGCATCTAGTCTCAAATGTAATTCTTTGTACCGTGCACCCAGCTTTATCTTATGTGGGCCTCCTATTGAATTCTTCAATTTCTATGTCATCATTGCTCAGAGATAGTTGACCAAGTGCTGGTATTATGCTTATGTTTGTTAAGTCATCATATTATGTTTGTTTGTTAACCACTGTCACTAAGGTATATTTTTCTGACTAGGCTGTGTTCACGTTATCTTGTCAGTGTTGGCATGTCCTGTGTTATCACTCATAGCAAGTTATCTGTTATCTTTGAGTGAGGCTAATATAGTTAACATTTGTAGATTAGTTTCGTGCTAGCCTATGAACTGTTATGAATTAAATGGGGGTTAAAGAAAACAAGTGCAATAAAGTCAGTCCTCATCTTCTTCTTCTTCTCCTCCTCCTCCTCGAACTCTTCTTATTCTGAATGAACATAGAATGCTTTTTAGATTTAAAAAAAGGGGGCTGCCCAGTTTGTGACCCTTTAAAAATAAAGTGTCCTTTTCTTCATCATATTCATCATCATCATCATCTCTTTATCCCATAATCTAGCATAGGCCCCAAACAACTTATGATGATTTGTTCTATCCTCTTCCATTCGATACAACTTACCCCCATATACTCTCCATACAAAAATTCCTGTTCTCTGATTCTCTTCTCTATTTATATTTTGGCCTGTCTTAATTCCTTTGACTCTGAGTTATGAGTTAGATTATCCTCACAGCATTCCAGACTCATCCATAGGCGCTCAGTTTCCCCTCTCAACATATTCATCTGTGTCATGCGGTTAATAGTACAAGTCCTGTGTTGGTTAACAAGACTTTGTGTGCATCCGGTGTGCTTCTCATGCTTGGCTGTGCTGATCTTTACTCCCAATTCGTGTATTCTTAGCAATGATGTGGACACGTTGCTTCTAAAATCCTCAGAACGTCCTATCTCTCGAAGGGCAATGGCAATGTCTGTATGCTCCATGGGCCGGCCATCTTCAGTTAATGCAGCACCTGCCATTCTATCAGCTTTCTCATTACCAACGCCAGCATGCCCTGGGACGAATATGAAAGTAACTGCACACACAAGAAAATTTTGCAACGACTCAAGCCACTGTCTGCGTAACCAGCCTGCCTCGACCCGCCAGATCATGCTCAAAGAATTACTCAGCACACACATGCGGTAATAGTCCTGTGACTCTGTGGGTTCCAGTGCAAGGACTTCCATTTATTGTTATCAGGTTTTCTCATGTGTCATATCCAATACCTGTGTCTTTTCCTCACCTCTTGATTCACTGGAATTTCTGTAGTTCTACCCTAAAGCTAGTGATTCTGCTGTATCAATTTCGGCAGGAACCAATTAATGAGTGTTTATATACTGTTTAAAAATAAAAATAAATGCACAGCTACTGAAAGGAACATACATACTCACAATTTTGACATTCTGCATCTTTGCAACGCAATAAGTGAAATTACTCAAATTTCACACAAGAATACCTTGGTGTTCCACCAATCAATTGACACGTTTTTTTTTTTTGCTTCTTGGCCATGATAATTTTAGGCCTACGGCCTTTCCCATTAGAATGATGTGTGGCCTCCTCTTGTGTGGATCAGGGACTTGGCATCTCCTGGGCTTGGATGCGATCACATGTCTAATATAAATGAATGCCAACTCTCCCTGGAGTGCCTGGAACAGATCATGACCATTGGCTGGAGCAAGGTCTCGGCAACAAACATGACTTTGCTGCTCATCCCCTAGGTGCTCAATCGGACTTATGTCTGCAGACAGGGATGAGCAGGAAAGGGTTTGAATGTTACTGGCAGCCAGGAACTGTGGTCAGCCATGCAGAATGGGGTCTGGCTTTGTCCTGTTAAAAAAGATATCTGTTGGCATCCTAAAATTAAAGGACATTTGATCGAAGAATTTTACTGGCGTATCATTGAGCATTCAACCTATCTTCAGTGTACACCAATTGACTCCTTCCATTCTAACTGATCATTTCCTACACTATTACATTCCCACCACCGTGCAGCAGAGCTTCATCAACACAATTTTGGGGTAAACCTTCATTTTGCCTACGGTAGACCCTACTTCATCTATCAGGACGCTGCAACAATTAGAAAGAATCATCACTGAATCAGACATGTCTCCTTTGATTGTCACCTGCCCATGGACGATGTTGCTTGCCCAAAGAGGTGATTTTGGCGGTGGTGAAGCACAGGGACAAGTCCTCGATGTTGTTGCCATGACCAAAGTCCGACGTCATGCAGTCACTTCCGAACAGTTTGATCAGACACATGATGTTCTGGAGGCAAAGCTTGCGCAGTTGAGGAAACGGTTGTTAACCTGTCTCTGAGGTGACGAAGCTGAATATAGCGATTCTCTGCTCCTGTTATCGTCCACTGCCATATCGATCTTCAACTGAACCTGTGGCCTGGAAGTCGACTGCTGGCACTCTGATGCATGCTTAGATACCTGGCAACCTGGCTTTGACTTTCTCCTGACTATAATCGCCAATAGTAGTATTTCATAAATTTATCGATAGAGGCACATTCATGACTGCTAAAAAATGAACTGATTGTTTTGGTGCAGCGTTATCCTTTTATAGGGTTTATGTTGCATAGGCAGCGAAATGTTTACCCCAAATTGATTGCTTTCTCGTGCACGTCATGAGCTATGCTCACAAATATGGTCTCAAACACAACTGACCACTGCGTTATAACGATTACAAAAACCCACGCTATTCACACCTACATGTTCACTGAACACAGTAAACAACTTTGAGACTGCTTTTCGCATACCTGATTTAGTTTGTTGTGTATCCAAACAGGAAATTGCAAAACCAACCCCAGTGTTTTTTGTCTGTTGTGGTTTTCTAGGCAAATTTACATCTAGTAGTTTGCCATTGATTTCTGGACGGTTGGCTTCTTGATACCACTGTCGAAACCAACGCAAGGCCCGCAGTTGGGATCTAACACGGTATTACTAAGTGCGTAGTACACTGTTGTGTGCAATCCGAAGATCCACACTACGGGCAACCGATAATGAACATGAGGTATGACGAGGACACGACGTCACTTGCCGACATAAATTTTTAGACAGATGACAGTTGCAAGAAATGTGTTAATGGCAGAGGTTGGAAACTAGTAGGCTTAGCTGTATTCTACTTGATGCCGCAGTTGGCGGGGAGCTTAGGCTCTGTACTCTGGCTTAGAGGTAAAAGGAGTTCTTCTACTTGATGCCGCAGTTGGTGGGGAGCTTAGGCTCTGTACTCTGGCTTAGAGGTGAAAGTTCTTCTACTTGATGCCGCAGTTTGCGGGAAGCTTAGGCTCATTGCTCTGCCTTGGAGGTAAAAGGAGATATTCTACCTGATGCCGCAGTTTGCGGGGAGCTCAGGCTCATTGCTCCGGATTGGAGGAAAGTAATTAGCTAACCGTCGTTTGATACAGTGACTGTAATGTATGCATTTCATTGACGCCATTTATATCTGTGAGGAATTGTTCAAATAAATGTCTTTGATTTGCCTTTCAACGATGTGTTGTAGCAGTTTCAACGGTTGACTTTGTTACGGCGTTTTTCTGCCCGCCATTGGTCTTGGTCATTGGTTACCCCTAGAAATTAGTTTACTTGGAATTTGTACGGCATGGATCCGGGACTACAGCTCACGGCCAAATTTATGAACAGAACATCATTGTACAGTAATGGAGACAAATAAGAGCCGTACAGACACCTAGTACAGTATTTTATTTACGAACTAATAAAGATGCTCCGTCGGATAAATTTGTGCTTCTTTTTTTTTAAACAGTATAGTTTAGTGGTATTTGCTTTAGTTCCTGACCCGGTTTCAGCTCCATACAACATGTTTTTTAAATACATACACAGGTCTCTGAATACTTGTTAGTTATTATGTTTGGTGTTATCAATCAGAATTTCTAGAATTTATAACTACGTTGAAGAGATGCACAGGATAGAACTGAGTGGGCGAATAGACTTTGAGTCCTATGGGACATACAGTGGTACATATATATACATATAATGGTATGAATGAATGAATAACTATTTTAAAATATAACTAAATGTTTGGCGGAAGGTTGTGATGTCATGTTATAGACTTTTATGCTCTGTGCAGTACTTTGTAGGCAACTGGTCACTGTGAAAAGCAAGAAAGGGTCAAATGGGATAGAACCCACTGAATTTAAGTTAATCTTCTCAGCTTTAAACACCATTTCTCTACCTTGTTAATGTATTTGAGACTGAATTTGTTCTTTCTTTCTCTCCACAGCTGTTTGACCGCCTCCGCACAGAACGGCCGTATTTTGCTACTCAGCTGCGACCAGTATGCGGAGACATGTTGCTGCCAAATCTTGGATTGTCTGCGTCGGATTGCCAGATGTTGAAACAGAATGTCCATGTTGTGTTTCACAGTGCAGCTACCATCCGCTTCGATGAGCCGCTTCGAGTGGCTGTGGAAATGAATGTGGTGGCTGTCCGTAAAATGCTAGTCTTGTGTCGGACTTTCCGCCACTTAGAGGTAAGTAGCAGTGAAAGATCACAAGAGTTTTCAAAGCTGTTGGGCCTGTATTTTTTTTGGGGTTAATTGTGTGTTTAAAAAATAATGTCTTTCTGTTTAAAACTAATCTTTTCCTGTTAACAATAATGTCTTCCTGTTAACAATAATGTCTTCCTGTTAATAGTAATGTCTTCCTGTTAACAGTAATGTCTTTTTGTTAACAATAATTTCTTCCTATTAATGTCTTCCTGTTAACAGTAATGTCTTCCTGTTAACAGTAATGTCTTCCTGTTAACAGTAATGTCTTCCTGTTAAAAATAGTGTCTTTTTGTTATAAAACCAAGTTACCTTATTTCCAGTTCTCATGTTATTTAAGTTTTAACATATGCAAATGAAAGTTGCAGATCTACTCAAGACATAGAACAAAAGTTAAATGCATTTAAAAACAAATGTGTGAGGAAAATAATGGGGGGAAAAAATGATTGAATTCAAAAGGAGTGAAGAAATAAGAGAAATATCTGGACAACCACTAGTTTCAACAGTTACAAGACAGAGGAGATGGCTGGACAACCACTAGTTTCAACAGTTATAAGACAGAGAAGATGGCTGGGCAACCACTAGTTTCAACAGTTACAAGACAGATAAGATGGCTGGGCGACCACTAGTACCAACAGTTACAAGACAGAGAAGATGGCTGGGCAACCACTAGTATCAACAGTTATAAGACAGAGAAGATGGCTGGACAACCACTAGTACCAACAGTTATAAGACAGAAGATGGCTGGACAACCACTAGTATCAACAGTTACAAGACAGAGAAGATGGCTGGATGGTCTGTTAAAAATAGTGTCTTTTTGTTATAAAACCAAGTTACATATTTCCAGTTCTCATGTTATTTAAGTTTTAACATATGCAAATGAAAGTTGCAGATCTACTCAAGACATAGAACAAAAGTTAAATGCATTTAAAAACAAATGTGTGAGGAAAATAATGGGGGGAAAAAATGATTGAATTCAAAAGGAGTGAAGAAATAAGAGAAATATCTGGACAACCACTAGTTTCAACAGTTACAAGACAGAGGAGATGGCTGGACAACCACTAGTTTCAACAGTTATAAGACAGAGAAGATGGCTGGGCAACCACTAGTTTCAACAGTTACAAGACAGATAAGATGGCTGGGCGACCACTAGTACCAACAGTTACAAGACAGAGAAGATGGCTGGGCAACCACTAGTATCAACAGTTATAAGACAGAGAAGATGGCTGGACAACCACTAGTACCAACAGTTATAAGACAGAGAAGATGGCTGGACAACCACTAGTATCAACAGTTACAAGACAGAGAAGATGGCTGGATGGTCTGTTAAAAATAGTGTCTTTTTGTTATAAAACCAAGTTACATATTTCCAGTTCTCATGTTATTTAAGTTTTAACATATGCAAATGAAAGTTGCAGATCTACTCAAGACATAGAACAAAAGTTAAATGCATTTAAAAACAAATGTGTGAGGAAAATAATGGGGGGAAAAAATGATTGAATTCAAAAGGAGTGAAGAAATAAGAGAAATATCTGGACAACCACTAGTTTCAACAGTTACAAGACAGAGGAGATGGCTGGACAACCACTAGTTTCAACAGTTATAAGACAGAGAAGATGGCTGGGCAACCACTAGTTTCAACAGTTACAAGACAGATAAGATGGCTGGGCGACCACTAGTACCAACAGTTACAAGACAGAGAAGATGGCTGGGCAACCACTAGTATCAACAGTTATAAGACAGAGAAGATGGCTGGACAACCACTAGTACCAACAGTTATAAGACAGAGAAGATGGCTGGACAACCACTAGTATCAACAGTTACAAGACAGAGAAGATGGCTGGACAACCACTAGTCTTGTCTTGTCTTGTCTTGTCCACAATTGCCTCACAGCGTAGTGGGGAGTCGCAGTTTTCTATCCTGGGCCAGGTGTGTTGCACATGTTGTTGTTAGTCCGTGTTGCTTCAGGATCTCTGATATATTGTCTATCCATCGTACTCTCGGTCTGCCTCTTTGCTCTAGGGCAGTAGTGCTGTTCGTTGTATGCTCGTAGAGGCAGTTGGTCGGTTTGCATTCACATCAAGTGGCCAAACCACTCTATTTGTTGCTTTTTTATGTATTGCAGGCATGGTGTGGTTCCTACAATTGATCTAATGTTCTCGTTTCGAACTCTGTCTCTCCTTGTGACATTGGCAGCCTTACGTAAGCATCTCATTTCACACGTCGTTATCTTTTTCTCCTGTGCTCTTGTTAGGGACCAGGTTTGGCATTGGTAGCAGAGGGTTGGTATAAACATGCAATTTATCAGTTGTCGTTTTAGTGCCATAGTGATGCTTGGGTGTTTTAGCAGTGGGGAGAGTTGGTAAGTTACTGCGTTCGCCTTTTGACATCTTGCCTCTAGTACCAACAGTTATAAGACAGAGAAGATGGCTGGACAACCACTAGTATCAACAGTTATAAGACAGAGAAGATGGCTGGAGAACCACTAGTATCAACAGTTACAAGAAAGAGAAGATTGCAAGACAACCACTAGTTTCAACAGTTATAAGACAGAGAAGATGGCTGGACAACCACTAGTTTCAACAGTTATAAGACAGAGAAGATGACTGGACAACCACCAGTTTCAACAGTTATAAGACAGAGAAGATGGCTGGGCAACCACCAGTTTCAACAGTTATAAGACAGAGAAGATGGCTGGACAACCACTAGTATCAACAGTTATGAGACAGAGAAGATGGCTGGACAACCACTAGTATCAACAGTTATGAGACAGAGAATATGGCTGGACAACCACTAGTATCAACAGTTATAAGACAGAGAAGATGGCTGGACAACCACTAGTATCAACAGGTAAAAGATAGAGAAGATGACTGGACAACCACTAGTATCAACAGTTATAAGACAGAGAACATGGCTGGACAACCACTAGTATCAACAGTTATAAGACAGAGAAGATGGCTGGACAACCACTAGTATCAACAGTTATAAGACAGAGAAGATGGCTGGGCAACCACTAGTATCAACAGTTATAAGACAGAGAAGATGGCTGGACAACCACTAGTATCAACAGTTATGAGACAGAGAAGATGGCTGGACAACCACTAGTATCAACAGTTACGAGACAGAGAATATGGCTGGACAACCACTAGTATCAACAGTTATAAGACAGAGAATATGGCTGGACAACCACTAGTATCAACAGTTATAGGACAGAGAATATGGCTGGACAACCACTAGTATCAACAGTTATAAGACAGAGAATATGGCTGGACAACCACTAGTATCAACAGTTACAAGACAGAGAATATGGCTGGACAACCACTAGTATCAACAGTTATGAGACAGAGAATATGGCTGGACAACCACTAGTATCAACAGTTACAAGACAGAGAAGATGGCTGGACAACCACTAGTATCAACAGTTATAAGACAGAGAATATGGCTGGACAACCACTAGTATCAACAGTTATGAGACAGAGAATATGGCTGGACAACCACTAGTATCAACAGTTATGAGACAGAGAATATGGCTGGACAACCACTAGTATCAACAGTTACAAGACAGAGAAGATGGCTGGACAACCACTAGTATCAACAATTATGAGACAGAGAATATGGCTGGACAACCACTAGTATCAACAGTTACAAGACAGAGAATATGGCTGGACAACCACTAGTATCAACAGTTACAAGACAGAGAAGATGGCTGGACAACCACTAGTATCAACAGTTATGAGACAAAGAAGATGGCTGGACAACCACTAGTATCAACAGTTACAAGACAGAGAAGATGGCTGGACAACCACTATTATCAACAGTTACAAGACAGAGAAGATGGCTGGACAACCACTAGTATCAACAGTTATGAGACAGAGAAGATGACTGGACAACCACTAGTATCAACAGTTATGAGACAGAGAATATGGCTGGACAACCACTAGTATCAACAAATATAAGACAGAGAAAATGGCGCTATATTGGACACATCCTGAGAAGAAACCAGCAGAGAATCACCAAACAGGCATTACAATGGGAAATACAGGGATTAAGAAGGCGAGGACGCCCACAAGAAACTCTAAGACAGACGCTGATGAGAGAGGCTAAAGCTGCTGGACAGATTCCATCCATGATATTTAACTGATTGCATAGGATAGAGTGGAATGGAGGAATAGACTGTGAGCCCTATGTGACATGTAATTGCACAACAGCACAATGAACAAATGTTATAAATTTGTATTGGGCGTAAAGGGCTAGACCTGTATTTTATAGACCAGTTGGCACTCGATGGGTGATGTGGTCAACATCACACCGGCCCCTTTACTTCCCAGGACTACACCTGGTATCCATTCAAGGCTGGGTCGACCTGGGAGCCAAGGTAAATTTTTTTTTAAAGTCCAGCTTCGCCAGCACGTGCACCCACAACCTTCCGACTCGCAGGTGAGCGTCTAGCCGCTACACCACGACTTTCTTTGAAAGTAAAGGGAAATAATAATACACGAGTTTATCTATTGATCACTGAAAATTCTAGTGATAAAATATCACTAATGGGTAATCCTTGGCAGCTTTGGTGACATTTATATTTTCCTTGATTGTTTCATTTGATATTGATGGTACATAATTTCATGTTAACAACTTATCTTTGACCCTAAATAGGTGTAGAATTGATAACTTTGCATTCAGTATCCTTTCATTCACTTTACTGGAATCAACTTTATTCCTCGTCTTTTCTTATTCTGTTTGCTTTCATCTTCCAGTAGAAAATAGACCCTCAACAAACTCATGCCTGATGTTTCGTAGAATTCTTTATCGTTGATTGAAGTATGCCGCTACAGTTTTCAAAAGAATGAGATAGCCAATATCATACTAGATCATCCATTTTAACAGGGTCTTGTACTTGTATATAAATGACAGCCAGTTTGAACCATTGAACTGGCACCTGTACATAAATGACCACTGAATTTATCCATTTTACTGCCACTTGTACATAAATGACCTCTGATTCTTAACTATGGACAGGCACTTGTGCATAAATAACTTCAAATTTTATCCGCTGGACAGACACTTGTACATAAATCAGTTCCAATTTCGTCCATTGGACAGGCACTTGTACATAAATATCTTCCAATTTCGTCCATTGGACAGGCACTTGTACATAAATAACTTCCAATTGTATCCACTGGACAGGTACTTGTACATAAATAACTTCCAATTTTATCCACTGGACAGGCACTTGTACATAAATAACTTCCAATTTCGTCCATTGGACAGGCACTTTTACATAAATAACTTCCAATTTCGTCCATTGGCAGGCACTTGTGCATGTATCCACTGCCTATGCCAACTGTGATCGACCCTACATTGAGGAAACAGTTTACCCACCTCCCGTGGAACCCCAGAAGATCATTGATGTCTTGGAGTAAGTCATCCATGTTCTGTTTGTTGGAGAACCTGTTGAAGTCTTTTGATGAGTTTTCTAATATTTCTTCTTCTTAGCGTTCACCACCTATAAATTCCGGTGGAAAGTTCCTGTTCCATAACTTGAGTTTTGCATGCACATCCATTTTACAGATATGGCATATTTGTATGCAGACTGTTGGTCCCTCATCTCTCAGACAGATGCACTCTGATTTCAAAAGAAACATCTCCACTTAGTTGCCCTTTATGACATGCTTGTTAGTGGCCAGTGGGGCTAGTCTTTATTTCCTCCAGATTTGGGCCCTGGAACCCACACCGGAGGTGATTGTTTGTAAGACTAAATGTTGACATCACAGCACTCAGCACACCCCCATAAGCGCTCCATCCCCATCTTCAGAAGCAAGCGAAGAGTTGAAACTCCGATGGTACCAGTAACTGTCTGGTTGTATATCTGTCTCGCCTTTCCCCTGAGTGTCGAGCGTCGGCCAGATCCCGATGCAACTCCTCGCAGTGCCATTCTCTTCAGACCACAATGATCTGTCTAAGCCTCGGCACTGTTTACTCCCTCCCAGAGGGCCCTCACAGCATCCAGCTTATCGTACATCAGTTCACCACCAAGTAATGCAGAACTGGCCAGTCTATCTGCCTGCTCATTTCCTAACACATTGGCATAACCTGGAGAAAATATCCAAAGGATGTTAACTACCCAGGACCAAATAAGGCCATTGAGGATGTTCTTGCTTCACATAGCACAGAGCCTAGGCAGTATTGTACAGAGATCCCCAGGTGTTCTGGGACCCGTTATTGGGAGGGTAGGGGGGGGGTGCAGAATTGACCCAGTGGCTCCCTAACAAGTCAACTGATCAGGGGTGTCCTTTGAAGTCGGCATGTATCTGCCTAATGGGCAAGAAACCAGCAGTCTGCATACAGATAAGGCAGATCTGTAAAATGGATGTGCACGTAACAGTCAAGTTCTGGAATAAGACTGAAGTCCAGGAGTGGACAAACAACCAGAACTTTTTGCTGAAGTTTACAGCCAGTGGAATGCAAAGAAGAGAAAGAAGAAGAGTTTGGTAGAGATCAAATGGATAATTGCTTTGATAAGTGAAAATATAATTTTGATTGCATTTTCCTGACTTCACAGGTGGATGGACGATGAAATACTGGAACTGTTCACACCTAAACTGATGGGGGAGAAACCCAACACTTACACCTACACCAAACAGTTGGCCGAACACCTGCTGGTGACAGAGGGTTCGGACCTGCCCATAGCCATTGTCAGACCCTCCATTGTGGGGGCTGCTTGGAAAGAGCCATTTCCTGTAAGCATTCGTTTGCTGTTTGTCTCATCTTCATTTCCTCTCCAGGTGTCGAAAGAGATGCAAGGCATGTTTGTATCTTGATGCATTGTCTGGTTTAAAAAAAATTTAAAACAAAATACCCTTCATTTGCCACTGCTGCATCCTGCGTGCAATGTCTAGGCTTTCTACACCTAATACTTGACCTGTTTGACACGCACACTTGTTGGTTTATACAATAGTGCTCTCAATCCGCAGCTCCCGCTCAACAGCAACATACAACTCTGAACAAAGGTCTAAAGTCCTTGATATATACATTATATTAGCACATGGACATGATGAAATGACTTCCATTATGATAAATAATTGACACAATACTACAGCCATTCTTCCATGTCGACATACACAATGGTGTGCTGAAGGACTGCTGCTGCCGCAGCAGTGCTCCGATGACTGCTACTGTCTAACTGTACCAGATCACGCAGATCCACCTTTTGTGAATAACGTGACTGCCACTCATGACTCCCTATATCTTAGAGATGCTGCCACTAGAGGACTCACAGGCCAGTACACAATATCTTGTGAGCCATCCAGACCTCCTGTCTGCGACCTGTCACGTTACCCTCAGGTATCTCTAATACCTCACATCATAAAAAACCGTTATGCTAGATCCTTCTTACTGTGGCAACCCCTGTAGACAACATGAACACTTGATTCCGTCACCCAGCATGACACATAGATGCAGACTAGAACTTAGACTAGAACCTGTGCCCACACATACGTCAATAGAGCTCCCTGATAACGCCCTGATGTGGTGCACTCAAGAACAGCATCAGTTCTCAGGGTCTTTGCGACATCATAAAGTCTCCTCTGTCTTCTGTGTTCACCAGCTGTACGCTCTGGCTGAATGTCCTGGTTGTTCATCCATTTGGACTTCGGCTTTGTGCCAGGGCCTGAGTTTTGCATGTACACCTGTTTTACTGCTTATTTATATGCAGTAGGTTGTTCCATGCCACTCGGGCGAATGTACTCTGACTTTGAAGAAATTCCCCACAGAGGCAGTGGGTTTTCTCTTGTTTCCCCAACAGTGGGGCCCTGGAACCCACATGGAGAGCCGTGTAGTCAACTGCTGTAATATCAGCCCACAGTTCATCACCTTCAGGTGAGTTCCCTTCCGGCTAGCATGAAGACCGTCATTTACATTTATTCATGAACTCTGCACAGTTTCCTCCTTGACCTGGCAATCCCAGCAGTAGGGTCTCCGGTCTGATTAACATAGTCCCCCCTTAAGCCTAAACCTGAACTCAGAGGGTCATAAATTGTGTGTGTTTGTGTGTGTATATGGACTATACTGCCAAGGGATATAACCCGTTATAAACCCATAGATTGCTGACAACAGTGCTTCTGGCATATGATGTTAGGCTTATTGTGTCTGACTAATCAGCACTTAGTGGATGAAGTGTTCAGCACCATGCCAGCCATCTTGACTTTCCTGCTGGCAGGGGAGCATCTAAACCACTCTGCCACCACAGATCGATCCCCTGTAATGTTTATGGCAGTGTAAAATATATGGAAATAAAATAGGGGCTTTTGAGCTGAAATGCTATAGAAAGATTTATGTTTAGAACTGCCGCCCTGTTCCATTATTGGATGCAATTTTTAGTTTTATTAAAGCTTATCCCGGCTGTTGTCAGGGGCCCTAATATAACCTAACGGTTGAAAACGTTTTCTGGTACATGCACCGGTGTGATTCTCATCTGAATGGTGATATTTTGTGTCATGGGTGTTGTGCAGTTCTGGTGGGGTTGAACTTTATTCATTCATTCATATAGAAAGATTCTTTGAATACCATGGACCAAGAAGAAAAAGAAATGCATCCTTAAAGATCTAAACATCTAGGAAAATTATCTTGTAAACAGCATCTTATTTGGGAAACTGAAATATATTTGGCATTGCGAGTGCCACAGTGGATTGGAAAGAAAAATAGCAGAAGGCATGTTACCGGGAAAGATAGTCAGGGGCCGATCGGCATAGCATGAAGACATGCACAAGATAAAAGTGACTCCTTGGATGGAAAGGTGCATGAGGCAGGAGAGCTGGGGAGAGACCAGGTTTCTTTCAGGTAGACCGTGATGAGAGCAACATTCTGCAAATGACCTGTAAAATGGGATGGGAATGTATGCTACCCTTACCCAGGACTTGCCAGTAACTGTACTTTCATTTGTTCCAGGGCTGGATTGACAACTACAATGGTCCTAGTGGTATTTACATTGCTGTAAGTTTGTACCTGTTGTGTTGTGGTTGGCTTTGTTGATGTGCATGCTTGTTTTGTTGCTGACAGGTCTTAAACATGTTGGGGTGATAGCTTTACTGATAGTAGAAGTAGCTTCTGCTTCTTCCTCCTCCTCTTCTTCTTTTTCTTCTTATTTTCCTCCTTATTGTTCACTGACTGTAAACTCTGGCGGAAGAGCTGAGCTCCGATTGTTCATCCATCTCTGGTTTTGTTCTAGAACTTGAGTTTTGCATGCACATCCATTTTACAATCTGACTATTTTATATGCAGACTGCTCGTTTCTTGTCGCTCTGGGAGACCTACTCCCCAATTAGTTGGTTCTGTCTCCTGATTTGATTGTTCTCTGCTTCATTGCTCCTAATGCCAGAGTAACCAGAGGGTCTGGTGGCCTCAGTACACTCAGAGGAAAGGCAAGACAGACATATAACCAGATTGTGACCGGTACCATCAGTATTGGAACTCTGCGCTGGCTGCTGAAGATAAGGACGGAGCATGCATGGGAATGCCCCGAGTGCTGTGATGTCAATTCTTCACTCAACAACTCAATTCTTAAAGCCAGGTGTATGATACCACAACATCTAGTTTGAAAATGGAGGTGGAGGCAGTCACTGCATCATGATTGTAACAGACCCACAAGGCTTTGCTGGGAAAAGTGGTGACGGACATGCTCCATGCAGAGTAGCAAGCATTGCTGCATATGTCCTGCACTTTGCTAAAGGAACAGTCAGACAAATTGTTTGATTGTGCACTGCTAGAGCATGACAAACTGATACATGACAAGCTTTGGGAGCTGGTGAAAAATGCAGAAGCAGAAATAGATCATCATAGTCTGGCACAGCAGGGAGGAACCGGGGAACTAAAATATTCAGAGGGAAGGCAAGAGGGACATACAGACTGCTGCTGATATAATTTGAATTGGAACTCTACTCTTGCTGCTGAAAATGGGGACAGAGTGCTTATAGGAATGTCCCTAGTGCTGTGATTCCAGGTCTTAAAAGCTCAGCTCAGTTGATTGAATAGTTAGCTTAATAATTTACTGTGCTACTCTAGCAGTTGTTTTCATTTCTAGCAGAATCTCCTCACTGTCTACACCAGTGTATGACTGAGTGTGTTTGGGTAAGGAGAAAGAAAGATGTAAAGAGAAGTAGAGACAAAGACAGGGATGAAGAGACAAATTCAAGACGGGCAGACACAGACTGGGCATACTGCTCATACATCACCTGGGGTGGGGGTCTCCCTGGTGAAGTGGGCAATCTGTTTGCCTCATGCTGTGAAGGTCATGGGTTTCATGGCTGCGCCCTTTAGTTCATGAGTGCAGTTTTTACGGCAATTCCCAGGGATAGTCTACGGAGTTTGTGCTCTATGTGGCACTCTCGGCAGGCGGGTAGTCATTCTGAGAGAGCCTAGCCATATGGGATCAAACCTGGTACATTGAAGCAAATCCTCTTGACTTTAACCTTTGATGTTCTGAGAGAACCTACAAATGCCAAATATACTATTACTGTCATTCTTATGTTGCCTTTGAATATTTAATTTAACATAAAAGTGAAGTAAAGGCTCCTTTTCCTCGCCTTGAGGCGTTTTGTGCATATGGTGCTGGACATATATTGTATAGACCACTTGACTAGTTCCGTCAGGACTTTAACCCACGACCTTCCGATCCACTGGCGAATGTCTAGCCGCTGCACCGCGGCGACTCCCTAGATTAATATGGCAGTACATATTTCATTTAGCCTTAAGTATAGAAAAAAAAAGGATCCAAATAACATCTTTCTGCAGTGTTCATGTAAAGAAGTGGTTTTCTTGTACATTGGCTGCATTGGTTTTTTTTTTTCACAGGCAGGGCGAGGCCTGTTGCGCTCCATGAAAGGAGAGTCCAAGGCCTCAGCGGACATTGTGCCAGTTGACATCCCTGTTAACATCATGATCACCGTGGCTTGGTACACAGCCATTGCCAAGCCAAAGAATATCCTCATCTACCATGCAACAACAGGCGGTGCCAAACCATTCACTTGGGGAGATATCAGTAAGATGATGATGCCCTGTTCTGTCCTTTGTTATCCGGTTTTTGGTTCCCATGTATTAGGTTACCTGACTTCAAAATTGTTTGAAATAAATTATCGTCAGGTAAAATGTTGAATTAAGAATCGACATCACAGCACTAGGGACACTCCCATAAGTGCTCAATCCCCATCTTCAGCAGCAAGCGAAGAGTTCCAGTTCAGTGGTATTAGTAACCGTCTGATTGTATATCTGTCTCATCCTTTCCCTGAGTGTTGAGTGTCAGCCAGATCCCCTGGTAACACCTGTTAGTGTCATTCTCTTCAGACCATAATGATCTATCTGCGCCTCAGCACTGTTCATTCGCTCCCAAAGGGCCCTCACAATATCTAACTTGTCATACATCAGTTAACCACCAAGTGATGCAGAGCCAACCAATATATCTGCCTGCTCATTTCCCAACACACTGGCATAACCTTGTGAAAATGTCCAAAGGATGCAAATACCCAGGACCTCTGAAGTTATGCTTGCCTCTCTGCACGAAGCATGCCTGTTTTCACCTTTCTCAACATGCTCTGTGAGTCAGTTACAGTCGTCAGGTAGTGCTTTGCCGACTGACGCAAGCGATGATGCCTCTTCATAATCTGTGATTTTCAATATCGTGTGAGTTTGTATGCTGACACCCATCCATGCCATGACAAAATGCTTTTAAGAATCTTAACACATTGTCTTTATCTGTCTCTTTTAACACAGATCTGTGTCTTTGTCTGTCTCTTTTACCACAGATCTGTGTCTTTATCTGTCTCGTTTACCACAGATCTGTGTCTTTGTCTGTCTCGTTTCCCACAGATCTGTGTCTTTGTCTGTCTCTTTTACCACAGATCTGTGTCTTTATCTGTCTCGTTTCCCACAGATCTGTGTCTTTATCTGTCTCGTTTACCACAGATCTGTGTCTTTATCTGTCTCGTTTACCACAGATCTGTGTCTGTATCTGTCTCTTTTACCACAGATCTGTGTCTTTATCTGTTTTGTTTACCACAGATCTGTGTCTTTATCTGTTTCTTTATCTGTTTTGTTTACCACAGATCTGTGTCTTTATCTGTTTTGTTTACCACAGATCTGTGTCTTTATCTGTTTTGTTTACCACAGATCTGTGTCTTTATCTGTCTCTTTTACCACAGATCTGTGACTGTATCTGTCTCTTTTACCACAGATCTGTGACTTTATCTGTCTCTTTTACCACAGATCTGTGACTTTATCTGTCTCTTTTACCACAGATCTGTGTCTTTATCTGTCTCATTTACCACTGATCTGTTTCTTTATATGTCTCATTTACCACAGATCTGTGTCTTTATCTGTTTCTTTATCTGTCTCGTTTACCACAGATCTGTGTCTTTATCTGTTTCTTTATCTGTCTCGTTTACCACAGATCTGTGTCTTTATCTGTTTCTTTTACCACAGATCTGTCCAGTTTCCCTCATAACATGAGACAGCCTCCATTCCCATTTCCAAAAAGTGATGTCACATCAAAAACTGTCTGGCGGAAAGTTCTGGTTTTTCATCTACTTTTGAACTTTGGTCTTGTTCCAGAACTTATGGGTGCACATCTGTTTTACAGGTTAGCCATATTTTTATGCAGACAGTTGGTTCCTCACTTCTCAGGCAGATAAACTCTGGCTTCAAAGGAAACACCCCTGATAAGTTTACTTTTAGGACATGCTTGTTAGGGGGAAACCAGTCTGTTCTTGTTTCCCTCTATCTGGGACCTCCTCAACCCACACAGGGATATCACATATATGAGATATTTCATTTACAACAGCCTTTATCAGAGACAGTATCAACATTACTGCAGTTTTGTTGCTACCTTTCCTTTGAAGTTAACAAAGAAGGCTGGGAGGAGGATCATGCTGCATGGGCAACACATGTTCTTTACAGATATGCCTGGGTGTGTCCCCATGTGGTTCCTGGGTCCCTTTGTGGGGGAAACAAGAATAGACCCATTGCCTCTCCAACAGGCATATTTAAAAAAAAGAGGACAATAGATGCAGCAGCAAGGGAAATTATGTTGCAGCAGTCAACTAATCGGGAGCTTTCTTCGAAGTCAGGGTGCATCTGCCAGAATGGCAAGTAACAGCCAGCTGCCCACAAATATGCCAGTAAAATGGATGTACACGCAAAACTCAGGCCCTGGCCATAGTCCAAGTCCTAATGGATGAAGAACCAGGACTTTCCGAAGTGGCTTACAGCCGGTGAACAAAGAGGAAGAAGAAGATATGCCTGGCTTTATGCTGTGAAGAAGAGAGGATGTCCTCAGTGAGTCCTAGTGCCGCCCTGGTGCCGCCCCTCCTGCTGACAGACCTACCTCCACACATTTGAGTGCATATTCCGCAGTCCATCAGCACATAGGTCCGCCTTAGAAAACACAGAGAAAGAATGACAATTATTATGCTTGAAAACTGAAACCTTGTGGTTCCTTGTTTTCTGTCTAGGTGATGTGGTGAACAAATCATTCAAGCACACACCACTTGAAGGATGCTTCCGACGACCTAATGTTGCCATTGTCAGCAACAAGTAAGAGTTTTGCCATCTTCTTGATTCTGTGTTGTTTGATAGCTAATCTTCCTGTGGGTTCCTTATTAGCTCCATGTCCCCCCCCCCCCCACCTCCCCGTAGAACCTCAGAATCCACACAGAAATTGTGGAACCCGCACTACTCCAACTTGACTGAAGTATTCAGCAGAGCAGCTTACACATTCAGGATATTTACGAGGCACATTTTTTAAGTAAGTCCCGGCACAAAATTAACAAGACAAACCATCAAATATAAAAATGAACCTCATATTTACATTTTTTCTCAACATAGTCGCTATTGACTTCAACACATTTTTGGTATCGTGGCACCAGGTTCTTCATTCTAATGTCATAGAAGACTGCCACCAGTGTCTTGAACCATTCATTAACGCCTGTCTGCAGTTCATCATCAGTTTCAAACTACTGGGATGCCAGCTACTTCTTTAGGTGCATAAGGTGGTAATCACTTGGTGCCAGATTAGGGCTGTAGGGCAGGTGATCAACAATTTCCCAATGACATTTTTGCAACAGTTGTACAGTTCCATCTGTGATGTGAGGTCGAGCATTATTGTCCCAGAAAACAGTGGCCATGATCTTTTTGACAGAAGATGCTTGCTTAAACTTCATTGCTTTCAGAGGCCATGAGTGTCGCTATTGCATCAACTGTTGCTTTGATCTAATGTTTGTGTAGAAAATCCAGGTCTCATCTCCTGTAACAGTGTGCCCCAAAAATTCATCTCCTAATTTTTATAGCGCTGCCAAAATTTTTGAGCTAAGGCCAGGCATATCTATTTGTGTTCATCGGTTAACATTTTTGGTACTCGACTGGCACAACATTTTTTTTTATCCAAGGTTTCTTGTCACAGTGTTGTAAATTATCGAACGTGAAACTTTTGAAACTTCAACAGACAATGCAGAAATTGGGGATTTTCCTTAATTTTTTGGTTCACTTTTTTGACCAAAACTCTGTGACCACACTCGGCCGACTGCTACATTCTTCATCATGGATATTTGTTCACCCCTCTTTAAACATTCGACACCATTTCCTAACCATACTATCAGTCATAACATCTGGCCCATAAATCTCAGTGAGTTGCCTGTGAATTCCAGCAACAGTAAAAAAAATTTTTTTTGCTTTTAAAAAAAAGGAATCACAGCATGAACCTCACAGCGGGTATTTTTTTTTTCCCCACTCTTTATTAATCACTCACACGCAACATCAAACAAGATTTCCACAGTGAAAAAATAGCTCACAGCTAGCTAATGAACCTCATAAACATACTGCATATTTACGTTTTCCATCAGTGTTTGTCGCTGCGGTCAAAATGGGTCTTTTAAAAAAAAAACTTGTATTTAAAAAACTCCCTGTTTTTGGATCTCTGCTTCTCCTCCTTCAAAAACTTGGAAACTCTTTCAAAACTTCTCAATATTCTCTCACCAGAAAAGAGGGGGGGGGGGGATGCTTGTATTGTGTAATTCTAGAAATGCTTTTTGGCACATTTCATCCTTTGAGGTTGGAGAGCATCTGCTTGAGCAGCAAGGAGCCAACTGTCTACACACAAAAAGCCAGGTCTGTAAAACAGATGTGCACACAACACTCAGGTCCTGGAACAAGTCCAAAGTCTAGAAGTGGATGAAACTGCCTAGACTTTTCTCCCGGATCTCACCACTGGGAACGAACAAGGGAACATACTTTATTTTCAAAGGGTAAAAAATTTGGCACGCAGCTTGAAGAAGAGGCTATTCAGTTTGCACTTGATAATGGTGAGCTGTTGGTGTGTGCTTCTACAAATGCCAGTTTTACACATGGTAGTGGCGGACTGTTGGTGTTGAAACCTCTGGTGGTTACCTTATGCATTTAATGCATGTGTGAGCTGTTGTTTTTTGCCAGGGCTGCCGTGTGTACACTTTTCAACAAGGGAATGCATTTGTGAGCTGTTTTTTGTTTTGTTTTTGTTGTTGCCAGGGTTGCTGTGTGTTTACTTTTCAACAAGGTGCAGTGACAGACTGTTGGTGTTGTAACCTCTGGTTTATGTGTTTGGTATTTAATGCATGTGTGAGCGACAGGGCTGGAAATTCTGTGTGGGTTTTGGTGCCACAGGAACGAAGCAGTTGGGGGGTAACCCATTGCCATGAAGTCAAATCTGTGATTACCTTACTGATTACTCAATTACATTACCCATAATAAAAACCAGCATTTTTTTTTTAACTTTCAGAGCAAAAATTCCTGATAACAGACCTCTTTGCGTTGATTTGACAATGTTATGCAGCAGTGACAAACTACTGAATGTAAAACTACCTAGTGAAATGACAAAAGAGTTAGTTGTGAGTTTTTTGCAAAACCAAGCCCATTGTTTTTTGTTTGTTTTTTAAATTTGTGATTTCACTAGGTAATTTTATTATTAGAAGTTTGCTGTTGCTTTCTGAATGTCGGCTTTCGAACCGCTGTTGAAACCAGTGCACAGTGGTCTGCTGCAGATCGCTTGCAGCTAGGATCAAACCCGGCACCTCAGAGTTGAAGAGCATGTTAGCAGTGCCCCTACGCCCACAGATGTGAACAAAAAATGCTGGGGTCCTATAAAGGATAAACATACAATATTATGTTTTTATTTTAATTTTTTTTTAAACGAATATAGTTCATTCACCTGTGCATGTTGCCTATCATCCGCAGCTTCCTTCATGAATACTGGACATGTGTCAGTCACCTGTTTCCTGCCTACATCTGTGACATTGCCTTCAGGCTCATGGGGAAGAGGCCAAGGTAAGATGTAGCTGCTTCAGGTCATCTTTGGAACATTCTCCCAGGAGCATGAACTTTTTGTAGCATTGTCCTTGTAAGAGTTCTGCAGATGGGGGGGTTAAAAGTCACAGCACCCCTTCAGAAATGTTAAATATAACACAAAAGAGCTAATTTAAAAAACAACACAAAAAAACATCTTTGGCCTTGTGCGTTGTGTTTTCCAGTCACAGTTTGTACTCTGTTGATAAAGACTTTGGCTGTGTTTGTGTGCGTCTTTTTATTACCTTCTTTGAGCTCTCTAGCCACATGTTATGTTATATTTAGTATTTCTTGCAATCAGCTCAACTGCCGTCACCCCTATTTACGTCACACCTTAACAAGCATGCCGTAAAAGGCGACTAATGAACTTTTTCAGTCCCATATGACCTCATAAAGTTGACATGCATTACTTCCCTGGGGGCAGTATATAATTTTCAACATAAAACATTTGGTGTGCTGATATTGGATGTGCTGGGCAGAAAGGCGTAGATATCACAGTTTAGCTGTAAACCACAACACTACATGTCTCCGTCCTTTTAAGGGCAAGTGGAGAAGAAGGAAAAGCTTCCGTTGTGCTGTCAGTGTTTTTGTGTGTGTGGACAGTTTATGCAAAGGAATGGGCTAAATAACTTGGTCAGAACAGACAGGATTAATGGAAAAAAGAGTAAGTGGAAGGCAAAGAAAGATATAGCTGAATGACTTGACTTTATTAATCGGGTGAGACTAGAGAACGAATCCATGATTCTAGTGATCATGTATCATGGTGAAGCTAGACCACCTAGGCTTGTTGCCAGAGCACAAGATGATGAGGCATTGAGACTGGCCCGTTCTGCACGACTTGCTGGCGAATTGATATATGACAAGCTGGATGTTGTGAGGGCCCTTTGGGAGCGAGTAAACAGTGCCCAGGCACAAATAGATTACAATCTGAGGAAAATGGCGCTGTGAAGAGTTACCAGGGGATCTGGCTGATGCTCGGCACAAGGGAAAGGCGAGACAGATGTTGAATCAGACAACTGGTACCTTCAGAACTAGAACTCTTCGTGGGCTTGCTGAAGATGGAGACGAAACACTTATGGGAGTGTCACAAGTGTTGTGATGTTGATTCTCAATTCAACATTCAAGATGATAATGAATGTGCTTCTGCCAACCATAACAGACTAGGAATGTTTAACTCTGCCTAGGTCACACTGTTTTCTCCCTTGTGTTTTCAGAATGGTGAGGCTGTACCACAAACTCCATCGCTCCATCGACTGCCTCAAGTTCTTCACTCTCAATGAGTGGCATTGGGCCAACTCCAACCAGTATATGCTCCGGCAGCAGTTGTCACAGGCAGACCAGAAGGTAAGCTAATTTTTGGGTTGTCCTGGAAAATAAGTCTTTACCAGAAATGGAGTATATCCAAGAGAAAACAAACCATCTCTAAAATGTTTCATGACAAATTGGTCTCCAGTTTTACCACTAGTCCAGATGATGTCAAACTAAACAATCACATTCTTGAAAAAGGTCAACAGCTTTACATACCTAGGGAGTAAGATGACATCTATAGGAGATTCAGAGCTAGAAATATCATCTAGAATTGAAATGGCATCTAGTGCCTTTAACAAACTGTCAGACATCTGGAAGTCAAAGACATTCAGCAGTCACTTAGGATCTTCAGCTTTGTCTGATTCCAGTGCTTTAGGATCTTCAGCTTTGTCTGATTCCAGTGCTAACTTATGAATGCCAAGTTGGAAAGCAATAGCAGTTCTAGATAAAAAAAAAATAGACAATTTTGAGAACAAACATCTTTGAAGAATACTAAATCTCCACTGGACAGATTTCAGATCCAATACACAAATAAGACAAGAGACCAAGCAAGATAATGTGTGCAGTTTTATAAGAAAGCACCGCTGGAATTACATTGGCCATGCACTCCAAATGGATAAGACCAGACTTCCCCATCAAGCCCTTATATGGACACTGGAAGGGAAAAGAAAGGGGGGAAGACCAAGAGACTCTACATAGAACCATCGTCAGGGAAGGTCACCAATGGGCCTAACAAACATCCAAGACCTAAAGCAGGCGGCAGTGAACCGCCAGACATGGAGAGCTATGACCTCTGCCCTATGCACCGCCCTCTGATCAAGGGGAAAGACTAACTAATGGAGTGAAACTTTAAAGGAAACTAACTCACAAAGAGAACTTTTTCTTGTTGTTGACCAGCTGTAAGCTTTAGCAGAAAGTCCTAGTTGTTCGTCTTTTTGGGCTTTGGCCGTGTACAGGGTCTGCATTTTGCGTTTTACCGGCTTATTTGTGTGCAGCTGTTCGTTCCTTGCCACTCAGGCAGATGCACTCCGGCTCCGTATGAAGTTCCCAATTTGTTGACTCCTACAGCATGCTTGTTGGGATGGCAGTGGGTCTATTCTTGTTTTCTCCACAATGGAACCCAGGAACTCACACAAGGAGCGAAGAGAACTCATTGCCCACATCACAATGAGACAATCTTCATTTTGAGGTTTGAACAACGGATCAACATCATGGCACATGGGTGGTAACCCATTAGTGCTCCGTTCTTCTTCTAACTCAAGTCAGAGTCCGAAGAAGCTCAGCACAGTGCACAGGCTCTGAAGCACCGGTAAGGATCCTGAAATACTTTGGGTAGATTTTAAAACTCTAAATTTTGTCCGGGCAGCGCCGTTAGGCTACTCTTTTCAATTTCCAACTGCCAGTGTATTTTTTAATTAGTGGGCAACAATGCACTTGGGGTGCAATCTCACTACCCAGAGACGAGGAGAAATTACTAGAAGTCCAAGTCCAGGTGAAAAAATCCCAGCCTTTACCAGGGGATTGAATTCAGAACCATGCAGCCCCCCCCCCCCCCCTCCCACCCTCTAATCTTGTTTGGTCTTGCTATAATGAGAAGGAGAAAACTGGAGCACACTGTGGCAATGGCAATGTTGGAGAGCAGCACAAAAAGCATGAGCTGGATAACTGCAGGGGAGAGTCCCAAGAAATCTCTTCAGGAATTATCTTGTGTTGTTGTTGTTGTTCGTCCATAACGAGTGATGAAGACCACTTTCATCCAAACTAGCTGCATGAAAGTGACTTGAGCAAGGACTTGGATTTAAGTGAGGAAGAGTTGCGCAATTCGTCGACCTCACTCTCTCACCTGTGTCCATCTTTATCCAATGGCAAGACAATGTCGAGACGATTGGAAATGGACCTGGGTGCAATGGATGACCAAGGCGTCTTAGGTGCCCTGTCTTGTTTAACGGACAAGAAGGCCTTTACCAGCAGGTTGTGTAGAGAGCTTCGAGCAGAAATTGAACTCATTACTAGAACGACACATTCTATGAAATGAACCTTCTCTAGGGTATGCCAGTGTGTTAGGAAATGAATGGGCACATAGATCTGTCTGAAACTCAACTCTCAGGGAAGGGTTGAGACAGATAAACAATCAGGCTGTTTATGGTACCATTGGAATTGGAACTCTGCTGCTGAAGATGGGGATGGAGCAATTATGGAAATGTCCTGAGTGCTGTGATATCAGTTCCTCTTTCAGGCGACATTTTTTTCTTGGGTATGGCCAGCATTAATTTTAAACTGAATTTTTTCCCCCCTGCAACATGACAAAGCCAAAACCTTGCTGAAGACAAGTGTTGCAGTATAGTGACATAATATATCAAATGAATACAGAGTGCATCTAAACTATTTAAGTATCAGTATTACAGCAACAGCGGATCAGAAGTTCGTGGGTACCGGGTGCAGTCCTGGGAAGTAAAGGCGGCCGGCGTGATGCTGACCACATAACCCATCTTGTGCCAATTTGTCTTTAAAAAAAATATAGTTATAGCCCTGTATGCCTTATACGCCTAAAGGCGTCAAAAAGGGACCTTTACTATTACAGCAACAAAATAATTCAATGATACCACAATCAAGGATGTTAGACACACATGAAGATTTTCTTACACATGAAATGTTGTGCTTACCTTACCTTTTTACTTGATCAGCAACAGATATATCTATTTTTAAGAATTCACATGCCTTATGTATTCAATTTTGCACCAGGTAGTCTTTATTTGAATTAATTACTCTAAATAATTTGGATTTTATGACCGTTTTATGTGACATGTCAAATTTCACAACAGCCAAATTCCAGACATAACTAATCAAAACAGAGATGATCCTGTTGTTCAGCTTCATCCTAACCCGTATTAACGGCACTTGCATTATTAATTGTAGTGTCAAGACTGTTGTCACTGTCTTTCTCAGATTAATAAATGACAGCCGCAGTAGGGAGAGACCTTTTCCCTTTCCATTTGGCATGGAAAGTCACACAAACACTGTCTCACACTGATTTCATTAAACACAGGTGGAGACAGGCATGCTCCATGCAGAGTGGCAAGCATATCTTTAAAGGTCCTGGGTAGTTAGCATCCTTTGGATATTTTCTCCAGGTGATGCCGATGTGTTGGGAAATAAGCAGGCATGTCTGGCTGGTTCTGCACCACTTGGTGGTGAACTGATGTATGACAAGTTGGATTTTGTGAGGGTCCTTTGGGAGTGATTGAACAATGCTTAGGCACAGATAGATAATTTCGGTCTGAGGAGAATGGCAACTGTGAGGAGTTACCAGGGGATCTGGCTGACATTCGACACTCAGGGTGAAGGCGAGATGGATCTACAATCAGACAGTTACTGGTACCATCTGAATTTTAACTCTTTGCTTGGTGCTGAAGATGGGGACGGAGCGCTTATGGTGGTGTCCCGATTGCTGTGATGTCGATTCTTAATCTAGCATTCAGTTAAAAACAAATGGAAAATTAAACCTATCACCTCACCACACTTGCAAAACGATAATACTTCCTTTTGCTAATTATAGTGTTTTTTTTCCAAAACATGTTTATACAAATTTATTTTCCTACCAAACGGAATAGTATCAAATTGTCTTACTGAGAGACAAAAAATCTACAATATGGCAAACCGGGGCGTATTGTCGCACCGGTATATCGGTAATACGTCCTCAAAGAGTCTCTTATATAGCTCAATTTGCATTCCCCTTTGTGTTGAATTTCCAGATTTTCTACTTCGACCTTCACCCCCTGCACTGGCCAACCTACATCGAGAACTACTGCCTGGGAGCCAAGAAGTATGTGCTCAATGAGGATGTCTCTGGCCTGCCTGCTGCCAGGGCTCACATGCGCAAGTATGTTTGCCTCTGATCTTTTGTTTCTTGCAGCTTGTTTGACTATGTCACTGTCATTGTTAGCTGTGTTCTATCAGTGCCAGCTGTGTTTTTTCTGTGTGTTTCTGCTCACATGCGCAAGTATGTCTTCGTCTTACCATTTTGTTATCTGCTGCTTGTTTGACCATGCCGCTGTCAGCGCCAGCTGTGTTCTGTCAGTGCCTGCTTGCTTTGTTCTTTCTGTCAGCATCATTTGTGTTCTGTAAGTGCCAGCTGTGTCTTATGAGTGCCAGCTGTGTTTTATAGTGCCAGCTGTGTTCTTTCTGTCAGTGCCAGCTGTTTTCTTTCTGTCAGAGCCAGCTGTGTTCTTTCTGTCAGTGCCAGCTGTGTTCTTTCTGTCAGAGCCAGCTATGTTCTTTCTGTCAGAGCCAGCTGTATTCTTTCTGTTAAAGACAGCTGTATTCTTTCTGTCAGAGCCAGCCTTCTTCTTTCTGTCAGTGCCAGCTGTGTTCTTCTGTCAATGCCAGCTGTGTTCTTTTGTCAGTGCCAGCTGTGTTCTTCTGTCAGAGCCAGCTGTGTTCTTTCTTTCTGTGCCAGCTGAGTTCTTTCTGTCAGTGCCAGCTATGTTTTTTCTGTCAGTGCTAGCTGAGTTCTGTCAGTGCCACCTGCTTTGTTTGTTTAATACTAGTTTTACTGTGCTGGCAGCCCAGTGGTTTAGTTTGTCTAGCTGTTTAAAAGTGTTCTGTTAGTTTGCATTGTTATTTCCTGTACTAACAGCTGTCTCTGTATATTATCAGTTATTCTTCATGTTTTTATATGCAAACACAGTCTGGCTTCCCATACAAAATAAAATAATTTTTTAAAAATTTCAAATTATGTCCCAACACATTTTTAGTTAGCTTTCAAGGAGATACAAGGAGATCTTGCCAACGCTCGACACTCATGGGAAAGGCGAGACAGATATACAATCAGACAGCTACTGGTACCATCAGAATTAGAACTTTTCACTTGCTGCTGAAGATAGGGACGGGGCGCTTATCGGGGTGTCCCGATTGCTGTGATGTCGATTCTTAATTCCTCCCACAAAGGACGTTGGTGAACATTCGGTGGCTTTTGTTGACCCGTTTGCTGTGAAGTTCGGGCATTATTACTTGATCACCTGAAATAATTCAGCTGGCACTCACTGGGTGATGTGGTCAACATCACAGTGGCCACCTTTACTTCCCATGATGTTTTTACACCTGGGAAAAAAATCCACCTTGCTGAAGATTGTAACCTTTCAACCGAAGATTGTAACCTTTCAACCCCACAGACAAGTGACTAGACACTCCCAGTGAAATAGCAGCAGTCAGTTCCATCTCTTTGATGGCTGCAATATTTTAGTTGTGCAAAAGTTGAAATATTTTAGTTGTGCAAAAGTTGAAATATTTTAGTTGTGCAGTAGCTGCAATATTTTAGTTGTGCAATAGCTCAAATATTTCAGTTGTGCAATAGCTCAAATATTTCAGTTGTGCAATAGCTCAAATATTTCAGTTGTGCAATAGCTCAAATATTTCAGTTGTGCAATAGCTCAAATATTTCAGTTGTGCAATAGCTGAAATATTTTAGTTGTGCAATAGCTGAAATATTTTAGTTGTGCAATAGCTCAAATATTTCAGTTGTGCAATAGCTGAAATATTTCAGTTGTGCAATAGCTGAAATATTTCAGTTTTGCAATAGCTGAAATATTTCAGTTGTGCAATAGCTGAAATATTTTAGTTGTGCAGTAGCTGAAATATTTTAGTTGTGCAATAGCTGAAATATTTTAGTTGTGCAGTAGCTGAAATATTTCAGTTGTGCCTTGTCTTGTCTTGTCTTGTCCACAATTGCCTCACAGCGTAGTGGGGAGTCGCACTTTGATGGACTTTCTCATACTCCTGATCGTATCTGCGGTACTTAATAGCATGTTTATATGAGCTTTCACTACCTTACCGGTTTGATGGACCTGTCATAGTATCATTGTAGAGTTGTGCAATAGCTGAAATATTTCAGTTGTCCAATAGCTGAAATATTTCAGTTGTGCAATAGCTGAAATATTTCAGTAGTGCAATAGCTGAAATATTTCAGTTGGGAAATAGCTGAAATATTTCAGTTGGGAAATAGCTGAAATATTTTAGTTGTACAATAGCTGAAATATTTTAGTTGTACAATAGCTGAAATATTTTAGTTACGCAATGGCTGAAATATTTCAGTTGCGCAATAGCTCATATATTTCAGTTGTGCAATAGCTGAAATATTTCAGTTGCGCAATAGCTGAAATATTTTAGTTGTGCAATAGCTGAAATATTTTAGTTGTGCAATAGCTGAAATATTTTAGTTGCGCAATAGCTGAAATATTTCAGTTGTGCAATGGCTGAAATATTTCAGTTGTACAATAGCTGAAATATTTCAGTTGTGCAATAGCTGCAATATTTCAGTTGTGCAATAGCTGAAATATTTCAGTTGTACAATAGCTGAAATATTTCAGTTGTACAGCGCCTAAAATGTTTCAGTTGTTCCTGATTATTCCTGATTTCTGCAGTATTGATTGTATTTTTGGTGGTTTTTTTTGTTTGTTCCATGAAATATGAATTACTTTTTTTTATATTATCCACATCCACAGAGCTGTAGCGTGTCCAAATATTTGTACTTTTTGTTTTAAAAAAGTCAAGGTCCACAAGGCGTGGGCCTTTAGGAATATAGAGCTAGACCTATTTTTATAGACCAATTGGCACAAGGTGGGTGATGTAGTCAGCATCATGCTGGCCTTTACTTCCCAGGAATGCAACCTGTACCCACTCAAGGCTGGGTCAACCTGGGAGTCATTTTTTGTTGACATTTAGAAAAACAAAGCCCACATCTACCTCCACATCATGAGGTGGAATGTAAACAGGACAAAGTAGACGATTCCTGGGATTGAACCAACGAATATGCTGTGGCCTTATACCATAGAGACTGCTAAAGTAATCATGAAATCCATCCTGGGTCACCCTGAAATGTCCTGGCCAACTTGGCTCATGTGGGTTTGTGACAGGCCTAGCCAGCTGGCAGTGGATTTGTGATTGCTACAGACAATAATATATTGAGACATAAACAGACTAATCAAATGGCATTCGACCAGGGCAGTATAATTAGACCAAGAACAAAAAGGAAATTTAACATCAGAGAAACTCTACAGCAGCACTGTGTGTATATAGTTGAGGTGGCCAGAAGAGTCAGAAGCAGAACTTTATATCTCCCTTGACACCTGAAGAAGGAAAAAAGTAATTGAAGAAGAAGAAGACTAACTATTTTTTTTTAACTCAGAAGAAGATAATTAATTGGACATGCTCTTTACCTTGGTGAAATGGACAAGTAGTTGATTTTATATTTAAGTGCAAAGGATTTATTTATTTGCTTCATTTTAATCAATTGTTACTGTAGTGTGTGCCTAACGAGATGCAGCAAAATTTGCTGGGTAATGATTTGTGCAATCTGTTGTTTGTGTTTTCTTTGTTCCTGATAATTAATTGTCATTTCTTTTACCTCCTCCCTCCTCCATCACATTTTCAGACTGCAGATCATCCGCTGGGTGTTCAACTCTGCCGTAGCAATCATCCTGTGGCGGGTGCTCATTGCCAAGTCACAGTTTGCCCGCAATTTGTGGTTCTTCATCGTCGGCCTGGTGTTTAAGTTTGTCCAGTATTTCCGGATTACCAGCACCATGCATAAATCTTGAGTGTTGCCTCGTAGTTATGCATTTGTTACTATCAATTTTGCCGCTGCATTTAATTAGTACCTCTTTCAGTCCTAACTTTGCGTTTATCCTTTACAGGTTTTGTTTAAAAAATAGATCATTTCCTAGGAGTGCTGGAATAATTGTAATGTCAATAACTGGAATAATTGTAATGTCAATAACAAAAAATACTTAAATTAAATTATTATTTAATTAATTTGTTAATTGTTTTAGATTTATTTCTGACATTTTTAAATTTGCAAGTTTGTATGTGGGGGTGTGTGTGTGAATGTGTGTATATGTGTGCACATGTGTGTGTGGGTGAATTTTTCAAATCAGTGTTTGCTTCTGTATTTGCACATTGCTTAAAAATGTTTGCCAGGTGGTAATTGTAATCAAAGCTGCCAGTTACTTATAAGATTTCTCAGTTGTCATTAATCAGTTTCCTCATCCATTTTATCGTGGTTTGGAATTTTAAGTTTGAGAATTTAATAAATGACTTTACTTTGTGTCACAGATTTTTCTCTTTTATACGACTGAAAACATGCACAGCTTAGTTCATTTTGTTTCATTGCTTTTATTACTTTTGTTGCCTTAATGTTGACTGATTTCGTATTTTTGACGAGATACTTTGATATGTAAAGTTTGAAAGTTATATGTAACTTTGTTTTCTTCATTATTTGCATTTATGTGTTGCATTTTGTTGCTGTTGCTTGTAAATTTTTTGCCAAAGAGAATCAGATAGTCATCTGTTGGTCACATGGTCTGTTTATAAGAAAGTGATTTGTCGGATCTGAACCTGGTTGTGCCAGTTACCTGTAGGGTAGATAGTGAAGTGCTTTTACCTACCAGGCATATGTGTTGTTCTTCCATCAAAAGTGAGGATGACCATCCAAACGTAATCATGATCAATGATTGTGAGTATGAAGATGACTGAAAAGTCTAATTAAATCCAGGAAGGTTCTTGAGCAGACTGGACAATAGGGAAAAGCCACTGTTAGGGTGGGATGTGCCATGGGCTTCTTTCTGATCTGCCTCCATTTCTCTTTCAGTGCAACCTCAATGCCTGTCAGGCTGATGCACCATGTTTGAGGACTGTTCACCATCCCTGCCAGATCAATACCTGGCAGGCTGATGCACCATGTTTGAGGACTGTTCACCATCCAGATCAATGCCTGTCAGGGTGATGCACCATGTTTGAGGACTGTTCACCATCCAGATCAATGCCTGGCAGGCTGATGCACCATGTTTGAGGACTGTTCACCATCCAGATCAATGCCTGTCAGGCTGATTCACCAGTTTGAGGACTGTTCACCATCCAGATCAATGCCTGGCAGGCTGATGCACTAAGTTTGAGGACTGTTCACCATCCAGATCAATGCCTGTCAGGCTGATGCACCATGTTTGAGGACTGTTCACCATCCAGATCAATGCCTGGCAGGCTGATGCACCATGTTTGAGGACTGTTCACCATCCAGAACAATGCCTGGCAGGCTGATGCACTATGTTTGAGGACTGTTCACCATCCAGATCAATGCCTGTCAGGCTGATGCACCATGTTTGAGGACTGTTCACCATCCAGATCAATGCCTGGCAGGCTGATGCACTATGTTTGAGGACTGTTCACCATCCAGATCAATGCCTGGCAGGCTGATGCACTATGTTTGAGGACTGTTCACCATCCAGATCGGTCTCTTGCAACAGCCTGCTAGGCTTCTGTCTTAATGCCAAATGAATGGCCAATATAAGAGTGTCTTTGTGTTGTGTGTGTGTTTTTTCTGTCCACCTGGGGATCTTTTTGTTTGCTGGAGTTCTCCATAAAATATTCTCTTTAGAAGCTGATGGTCCGGCAAGTTGGTCAGGTAACCAGTCCAGCAGATCTGTTATTTTCTCAGTAGTGTGGAAGCTTGGCAGATTTTCCTTACTGAGACCACTGTTCAGGTAGGAAGGCACTTTCCTGGAAAAAAATCATCATGTTCAATCAGCATCATTGAAGGGGGAGCTGTCGGTTATAATTGTGAATGGGTTATTTGCGCCATATACAATGGCTTAGCATTGCACACTACTAAGAGCCTTGAAAAAGACTCCTGCAGTGTTGATGTGATCAAAGAATACCGACCCAATTACGGTTCCGACCAGCGACGAAGTCATCTAGTGGTGAGCCAGTGGGTGCAGTGTTGGTGTGATCAAACAAGACCGACCCAAATACTGTTCCGACCAGTAAAGAAGTCATCTAGTGGTGAGCCAGTGGGTGCAGTGTTGATGTGATCAAACAAGACCGACCCAAATACTGTTCCGACCAGTGACGAAGTCATCTAGTGGTGAGCCAGTGGGTGCAGTGTTGATGTGATCAAAGAAGACGGACCCGGATACTGTTCCGACCAGTGACGAAGTCATCTAGTGGCGAGCCAATGGGTGCAGTGTTGATGTGATCAAACAAGACCGACCCAAATACTGTTCCAACCAGTGACAAAGTCATCTAGTGGTGAGCCAGTGGGTGCGGTGTTCAGGATCATTTAATAGTAAACAAATTTCTGTAACAGTCTGTAAGAAACTGGGTCAGAGCATATAATGAAATGTCTGGTACCTGCTGGGCAGATCATTCTTCTTCGTTAGGGATCTCTGGTAGTGCACTCAATCTATTGGCCATAAACTGGGATGTTCACATGAGTGATACGCCCATGAAACGTACACAACTTGATGTTGTCAAAAGTTCCACTTACTCAAAAAGTAAGCATGTTGATTCCTAGCTTTGAACCAGTGTATGTTTTTTGTCTGCTGTAAATAAGTAAAAAACTTAAACTAGATGTTTGTTTACTTGAAGCAAAATTCTGACAAGGACCTGATTATTAACAGGATGCATGACAAGTTGAAACAACTTACACTATGAAAATGTGTTGGGAAAAGAGCATGCAGATAGACTGGCTGGCTCTGCAACATTTAATTGTGAATTGATGTATATTAAGCTAGATATTGTTGGCGCCATTTGGGGGCGAGTGAAAAGTGCGGAGTTGCAGTTAGATCATTACAGTCTAAGGAGAATGGCAGTGCGCCGAATTACCAGGGGATCTGGCCGACACTCAAGGAAATATGAGAGACATATACAGTCAGACAATTACTAGTGCCATTGAAATGGGAACTCTTTGCTTGCTACTGAAGATAGGGACGGGACGCTTATGGGAGTGTCTCAAGTGCTGTGATGTGGATTCCTAATTCAACATTCAACTGAACACTAAACAGTTGCTTAGTTTTTACAGTTGGGCACGACTTCTGGAACCAGACAATGGTTCTTTATTAATATCCTACCCCAGATGATGTCACAGGACAGTCCAACATTTTAGAGGGTGGTAAGACTGGGTTTTCCGGCTTTCTGAGGCTTTTTACAACCCCAAAACATCTAGAACCAGCCCTAACCCCAACCCAACTACTTCCCAGGAGAGAGTGCAGCCTAGGTCCCACAACTGCATGCAGCCTAACTACTACCACCTGATATATTAGACTGTCTCATGACCTGTGGATTTCCCCTGTTTGGGGTAGGATAATAATAAATCACCCAGACAACTTAGCACAGGTTGCTTGATTACTTCACACACTGCACTGATTTCTTTTCTTCCTCTCACCCTTTGGTTACACTAACATATTTTATCCCAGTTGTCACATTAACCCAAGCTGTAACATCAACCCAGGTGGTCACAGTTGTCACATCAATCCAGGCGGTCACGAACCCGGCACTTCTGGTTGGTGCCATTGCCCCATAAGAGCTGCTTTCTCAGCGCGCTGCATGGCGAGAATGATACCTGACAGAGGGAGCCGTGTGGTGTAGCAGCTAGATGCTTGCCTGTGGATTCGAAGTTTGTATGTGTGCAATCTGGCGGAGCCTGACTTTTTTTTTTAGCATCGTACGGGCCACCTTTATTTCCTAGGTCCATACCTGGTACTCGCTGAAGGCTGGATCACCCTGAGCCAAGATCTCTGTCAGGACCCGAACCCACGATCCGCAGGCAAGCACAGCGGCTAGATTCATCTGTATGGTTTTTGTTAAATTTGCCGGGGGGGGGGGGGGAGGTGCGGGGGGGGGGGGGGGGGGGGGGGTGCAGTAAATTGATTTGTGTGTGATTTCTGGTGACATTTAAAATTGGTTGTTTTGAAAAGGATCTTTATTGGTGAGGGCACGGGTTATTTCCCAAGGAAAATACAATATCTTAATAAATTTTTTTTTAAGTTACCAGGGTGAAAACTTCCTTTGACATATAGCTTTAATTTTAATTCACCAAACAAGCGATTTTTACTACAAGCGATGAAATGTAAAAAAGTAAAAGTAGCAGCTACTATGTACTAGAAGAGTTAAATTGAATAACACTTTAGTGACATTTGTTATTAGTTTTTTAAATGTTTTTCAATGGCGTTCAATACTTAGAGAAGTTTTCAGTACTTGTACGTTACCAAGATGCCCTCTGGAAATGAGTGAACAGTGCTGAAGCGCAAATAGATCATAACGGTCTAAGGAGAATGTCACTGCGAAGAGTTGCCAGGGGATCTGTCCGATGCTCAACACTTAAGGAAAAGGCGATATGGATATCCAATCAGACAGTTACTGGTATCAGCGGAATTGGAACTCTTTGTTTGCTGCAGAAGATGGGGATGGAGCGCTTATGGGAGTGTCCAGAGTGCTGTGATGTTGATTCAACATTCAACCAAGAGGAAGTTCTTTGTTTTCAGGAATTTGTTTGCAGTACTTGTACAGTACTGACAAGCACTCTTCTTTGCTTTCATGAATTAAATGTTAGTACTTATACAGTAGATCATCTCACATTGTTTTCAGCTGTGGTGCTTAGAGTTGACCTTTCAGAAAGCAGTGGCAAACTACTGAATGTAAAATAGCCTAGAAAAACCACAACAGCCAAAAAATGCTGGTGTTGGCTCTGCGCAATCCTGTGAAGGATACGCAACTAACATTGGTAAGTAAAAGTAAAGGACCCTTTTCCACACCTTTAGGTGTAAAG